GTTAAACGTCCTGAAAAACTTTCCTCTGCAGCAGTGTCCTACAATAAAGGACATTTCAACCTCTTCTGCATAAATTATTGAGACAAATCATTGAAGCATCTGGCTGAGCATTCCAGGTGAAGACGGAGCAGATCACAGAGGATAACGAGGATAAAGGACCTGAGAGGGGTGGGGGGGGGGTTTCAGGTCATCTCACATGAGATGGCAAAGGATGAGACATAAGGACGGGAAATGAGACGGGGGGACATGAGAAAACCAGCCCACACAGGTGGGAACAGACCAAATGTGGGACGTTTCAGGAAGAAAGAAGAAGAAGAAGCAGGAAGCTGAATAAAAAAAGGAACGATTGATTCTCAATGTGGAGAGAAATAGATGAACTTGTTTCCTACAAACGTCAAAACATGTCAGGCTAGAAGACAGCATTAGTCAGCGTTCATTACAGTGAGTTTCCTCATTGTTGTCTTGAAATGTCAGCTTCATCCCCACAGAGACTTTAGCCGTGGAAATACCACAGTGGGAGGCGAAGAACGATCGGCTAGAATGAAACCGCTTTAGTTTATTTCAGGTCAAATCCGAGTCAAACACCAGAACCAGACAGAGACCAGAGCAGCTGCAGGAACTTTACTGGATTAATCAATTCTTCATTGGTTCAGCATCACCGTTACAGCAGGTTCATCAACCTGTGATCACTTCCTGTCTGATACCAACAGGAGAAGCTTCTAGATTCATATTTTCTATGTCACTGTTTCAGCCTCTTTCACACAGTAAATTCTACAGTGTTAAATATGCAGTGTTAAGTACATCAGCTCTTTTAGAGTTATTACAATTAGAGTAAAATATACACTAGAGTTCCAATTTAACACTAATTCAGAGTGGGACCAACTGCACTCTTAAAGTGTTACTTTAACACTGCAGAATTTACTGTGTAGTAAACCAGAACCAGTCCTCTGCATTGGTTCTGGTTTTCCACAACCCTAACCCAGGCCAAACTTTTCTGCAGACAGTCTGACAAACTGCTTTCAATCATCGATTATTTTTGAGTCTATATTATGTCTAATAAAAATGTCTTAAAAAGGTGACTGTAAACGCCCTCCGTCTGTTCCTTAATGGTCTGTTGTTAACCCTAAGAAGAACAACTAATCCCTTCAGATCAGAGCAAACTTGAACTGCAGACTTTTCCATCTGCCCAGAGAGTTCACTGTGGTTAACATGACAGCTTCAGCAACCTATGACAGTAAGATCAATATAGCCGAGTCTGCCATGACTGTGTCAGACTACATCAACAAATGCATCAAGGACGTCAGCATCACAAAGAACATCACCACCCGGGCCAACCAACCACCCTGGATAAATGGAGAGGTCAATTCACTAAAAGCATCAAACTTAGCTTTCAAGTCTGGTGATAAAGAGGCTCTGAGGACAGCGAGAGCCAACTGGAACCGTTCCATCAGATCAGCGAAGCAGAACCACAGCCAGAACATCCAGGATCTTTTACATTATGACAGCAGCACCAGGAGGATGTGGAAATAAACTGAACAACTTCTTTGGAAGGTTTGAGGCACTAAACAGCCTCCAGCAGTGAAAGCTGTTCCACACCAGGGGGAGTCTGCCTGGAAGTCTGCCTCCATTATTCCAGTCCCAAAGAAGCCTCAGGTCGCCTCCCTCAATGATTAGCGGCCCGTCGCTCTGACTCCCATCATGATGAAGTGCCTCCAAAGGCTGGTTAAAGAACACATCGTCTCCAGTCTGCCGCCAACATTCCACCCGTTCCAGTTCGCCTACCGACGGAACCGCTCCACTGAGGACGCCATCTCTGCTGCTCTCCACCTGAGCCTGGCACACCTGGAGGAGAAGAACACCCACGATGGCTGCTGTTCCTGGACTTCAGTTCAGCTTTCAACACCATCATCCCACAGCATCTGATGGGCAAACTGGAACAGCTGGGCTTCAATACAACCCTCTGCTATTGGCTACTAGACTTCCTCACCAACAGACCTCAGTCAGTCCGGGTCGGACAGAACGCCTCTGATGTCATCGGTCTAAGCCCCTCCCCTCAGGGCTGCGTCCTGAGCCCCCTGCCGTTCACCCTGATGACGCACGACTGCGTCCCCAGGTTCACCACCGATCACATGGTGAAGTTTGCAGACGACACCACGGTGGTGGGCCTCATCAGAGACGACAACGACCTGGACTACAGAGAGGAGGTGGAGCAGCTGGTGGAGCAGAGATAACAGCCTGATCCTGAAGGTGGAGAAGACCAAGGAGATCATGGTGGACTTCAGGAAGAAGCGGCCTAACCACGCTCCACTGCTCATCAACAGCTCAGCTGTAGAGGTGGTCAGCAGCACCACATTCATCACAGACACCCTCACCTGGACTGGAAACACCACCTCACTGGTCCAAAGGGGACAGGAGCGCTTGGACTTCCTGCCCCCCCCATCCTCCCCACCTTCTCCAGAAGCTCCATAGAGAGCGTTCTGAGCAGCTGTCTCACTGTGTGGTGTGGAGGCTGCAGCGCCTCAGACTGGAAGAAGGTGAGAACAGCAGAGAGGATCATGGGGGCTCCTCTTCTCTCCATTAAAGACATTTCATCCCAGCGCTGCATGTCCCGAGCCCGTGACATCATCAATGACCCCTCACCCCCCCACCATGGACTGTTCTCCCTGCTGCCCTCTGGGAAGAAGCTTCCCAGCATTCAATGCAGGACCAGCAGGTTCTGCAGCAGCTTCTTCCCCACAGCCATCAAACTGATGAACTGTCTGTTGAGACTCAAATGTTTTTTACTGCATTTTGCACCATATCTATCTATTTATTTATTTTTTCACTGCTCTGAACTTCCATATCAAAGCCTTTTGCACCATGTCTCCCCTGCACTCCTAACATTCAATCACTGCTGGACAAGTTTCACTGCTAAGCTGCTCATTCACTGTCGGAAAGCTGTGTAAGAAAAAATATTGTTTTCTATACACTCTGTTTACTAAATTAGCAGAAACTTTGTATAAGTTTCTGACATCCAAAACCTTTATTGTGTTTTGCTGATTTCAAATCAAAATGATGCAATGAGACTAACTGGACGTCTTCCTCTAAAACGATTCATTCCTGTCATCATCTTCTGCATTCAGATGCTCATTGCATCTTTCTTTGCCCTTTATCTAATAAAGCAAACCCTCTAATTATTCTCTCTATTCACTTTAACCTTTGGTGCGTCTGAGGCTCAGAATGATTACACTGATTCAGAAATGATGTAGAAAAGATTTAGAAATGTTCATGCTCAGCTGTCAGACTCGTGTTTTTAACCGTCTCTCAATGTCTGTCTGTCCGTCAGCAGGAAATAAATAAAGACAGATAATAAATGAGGACAGAAATGACTGGGATTATATTCAGTTAGGCTCTGCTAGCACACAGACGTTAGGATGCAATCAATCAAAATCAAACAATTAAATAAAAAACAAGAAATAAATCATCCAAAAGCAGAAGAAAGACAATCCCTTTATTTACTGGTAGAGATGATCATATTTGTCAGTAAATTCTTGAGGAGCAGCTCCTTCCTGCAAACACACAATAAAGATGAGCTCATTTATTGTCTTTTTCATTGTGATTTGTAATGCGGGAAATAAACCGTCCTCTGATGGAAAGAAGTCTATGAATTCCAGAACCTGTATGTCACCGAGTTCCAGTAGTTCATTCAGAAATCCTCCGTTTATCATGTTATATTATTTGCTATCGATTAAAAGCATGATAGACTATTATATTATTCAGAAAATGTCAGTATATCTAAAGGCTCTCAGTGGAGTTTAGAATAATAAGCAATTAATAGTAATACTAATTAATAGTAACTGTTTTAATGATATAAATGTAGAAGAGCAGCTTTAGATACGCCCTGCATTCGGCGAACGTCAGGTTTTTCTTTCTTCCTGTTGAAAATCCACATTTCAAACTTGACCCACAGACAATTGCTAAAGGTTGCAGCTATTAAAGGAGACCATGGGCCTCTGATTAACGCTCTCTGGGCGTGACCTTTCACCTCAGATCTATGCTCATTTCTCTGTAAGTAAGTCACCCTGGAGAGATTCCCTCTCTGCATTTAACCCCTCCCCTTGGGGAGCAGTGGGCTGCCACTGTGCATCGCCCAGGGAGCAGTGTGGGGTTTAGGGTCTTACTCAGGGACCCAGAGTTGCAGTCTGTGGGAGCGGGGCTTGAACAAAGTGCAACACTCTAACCATTAGGCCACGCCCCCCCCCCCCCCCCCCCCCCCCCCCCCCCCTGGTCCATTTTAGCAGCTTCTTTCTGCATGGCTGCCCTCTACTGATCCTGGCACCTTTTGCCTGGTTCTCTTCAGCCACCTTTGGCCCCTGGGGCCCCTGGGGCCCCTGGGGCCCCTGGGGGGCCAGAGATCCTCTCTTCACCTCCAGTGAAGAAGAATAAACAAAGAACTGAAGTTATGGATCTATAAGATTAATTTATGTACATTACATAAAAATCCAGGACATATTAAGGAGTAAATCTGATCTGATCTCTGCTGTTTATTAAACTTTGGAAGATCCATCCATCTTTTAAATCACTGCTGCATCCAAATGACCTGCTGATAAAAATAAAAGAAAGTGGAGCCAGATGCATCTAAAATAAAGCTGCATCCATTCAGGAGGATTTTCATCCATAAACCTTCCAGCAGATTTAAGTGAATCTAGTTGTCAAAGCACAGATAATCAGTTCTGATCCATGGAAGTCCAAACAGGGAGGTGGAGCCGCCATATCATCCATTCTAACAAAACTTATGGTTTTTGTTTATTTGTTGCAGGTGACCTCAGGTTATTTAGCAGCTACTAGCTGACTGATGTTTATTAACTGAGCCTTTCCTTTCTAGCAGACGTAGAAATGAAGCTGTGCCTGAAGTGGGCGGATGGCAGCATCAGCAGCCGTCAGTTCAAACTGAAAGTTCAATCTGCTCCAACATTTCTGAGGTGTTGACAGTCAGAGAGAAGCTGGTTGTTGGGTTTTACCTCCAGGTTCTGCAGGTATCCTTCCTGTGGGTCGCAGAGCAGTGAGGAGACCCGGTGGTTCTGCCTCATGCACCGAGTGCTGCTGTCCCTCCAGAGCGGGAAGATCTGCCGGATCACAGTCATGCGGCCCAGAGCGCTGTGGGTCAGCTCCAGGATCTCAGTGTCGCTGATTTCCTGCCGCAATGAAGCAAAGAAAAAATACAAAGGCTGAAGTTTCTGATTGGTTTTCTACTTTGTAAAAAATGACATTATTGTTTCTCCACAGGAACGGATCACCATCATTACAAAGATTAAACATGCTGCTTTAAATAAAGGAAGGCAGGAATCATAAGCCAGTCTTCTAAGAACTTCCTCTGGTCCCGATCAGAAGTTAATGTAAAGCCATGCCGCAATGTTGTCCTCATCAAATTCAACAATAAGTTGCAAACATTGACTCAGATATTGTTGTTCGTTCATTGGAGAGAAAACAGCTCAGTCTGACAAATTAATTACTTCAAATGAACTCATGTCATAAAACATGAAGCTGTTTGACATAAAATACAAACATGAACCACATTTCATGGAGATATTTAAAGGACAGATTACGTCTCATTTTCTGCTTTGTTTTTGTTTTTAACAGCATCCTGTCTGGCAATGTGGCAATAAGAATAATTGTCTTGATGCCAAAAAGAGCGCAACAGATTTTACTTTCACAAGTGGAGCAGTACAGCCATCGCCATCGTGTTACGCTTGATTTATGCAAATAAATAGCTTTATTATAATTATGCAGGGAGTTTTACAGATTATATGGACACTGCAATGTAAGCAGAACAGGAAAGGAAAAACAGGAAAAAAAGCAAAAAAAAATGAGAAAAGATGAAAGAAAGAGGAGATAAAAGAGGGATAATGATAAAACATCTTTAGTCTGCTTCATCACCTGCAGAGATGGAAAAAGAACAGCACAACCAACTGATATAAGAGATAAAATAAATTAACGCTAAAGTATAAGTAGTATTATTTTATCTGACTTGTACTCTGTGTTACCTGAAGATCAGAATATGGGCTTTCTGTATGGAAGTGAATCCCCACCCCCGACAGAAATGAGTCCAGCGCCGGGAGACCCAAAGCCCCAGACACCCAAAGGGACCCCAAGAGCGAAGGCACCAAGGAGGGGCCAAGCAATGAAATCTGCCCCCCACCAAGGGAGGAAGTCCCCAAGCCACCGCAATGCCGGAGACCCTGGGAGCCGCCGGGACAAGTACGTGGGCCACCCCAAAGTGAATTTTCGGTCATGGGCCCCAGGAATCCGAGGCCCCAAGGGCGCCCCACCCCCCTGGCAGGAACCCCAGCCAGGCCCCGGCCGGCCGGGCGCCGCGTAGAAGTTACCAGGAACAAGCTAGTAGCCACCCGGGCATCCAACCCTTAAACCCTGAGCTCCACCAGTGCACCGGCGAGCCCAGGCGCCAGCCAGCGGAGGGAGAGCAGGACGGGGGGAATGTGCTCCGCACCTGGCGGAGACTTGAGATGTTCATGGGAGAGGGAGCAGTTCAGACCCTCACCTGAAGAAAAAAAAACTCACAGTCTCAATCACGCCTTCCCACCCTAGTGCCCCGACTCACACCACACAGTCTCTGTCGAGCCAAAAAACACAGGCACACATTCAGACATAACACATGCATTAATATCAGGACCAAAAACCCGGCGGCACCGGTGGTTGGTCCCGAGATTATCGGATGATCCAATAAGTGAACCCAAAATCCGGATGTGGGGGAGGGGAGCGGCGAAACCGCCACACCAACCCATTTTGTTCCTGCTTCGAGCCCCGCACCCGGACCAGACCACCCCAACAAAAGCTTCCCCGGGATCGGGGCTCACATGCCCCACGCAGTCCAGCCCCGCCACCGGCAGGCCACCCAGGCCCCGCAGCCGCCCCCGCCAAGTCCACGGACCAGGTGGCTCGCTCTTCCTCCAGGCCCCAGACTCCAGGTGGGAGCCAGAGAACAGGGGTGTGAGAAAAACCCTGATCCTCCCTGCGCCGCTCAAATGTGGTGTTGTTGCGTGTTGCTCTCAGGTGTAATTAAAACCGGTAGTACCAAAAGGGGGTGTTTCCAGCACAGTTCACCCCCCCTCCAAGAGATAGGCGGTGCCAACGCACCACCCCCAATCGACAACCCAGAACCCTCAATGTCTAAATGTAAAAGGGGATGGGGGAAGCTGTCCATGTTGGGGCCTAAGATATAAGGCCCCCCCAGGTGCCTTTGACCCCCACCCCCTTAGACAATGCCCTACATAGATGTGTGTTGTGAAAATGTTGTAGATGGAAGTGTCTAAAATGCAAAATACAATTGGGTGGGGGACGTCATCATAAGGTGGGGCCCTCAAGTAACGACCCCCTCCCCAAAAACCTACATGTGTGGCAGTGTGATGGAGCAGGCAGAGGGAGGATTCCGGGGATGGGAGCAAAGGACTGGGGGGCTTGCTGCACTCCCAGGGAGCCGCTGACTCCAATAGGCACCGCCGT